GTTCCCTGGCTTAAATGAGAGATAGTGACCAACATCTTCTCAAGAACCCCTGCAAAAGATCAAACAGATATCATTATCTGACAGTCACTGCATTATTTACCTTACCAGGGAAGAAGACTAGTTGTGAGACATCTTCAGCTTGACATGTATCAATAAGGAGTGAAGATTTAAATTTTCCTGGCTTTCATTTCAATCCTCACCTAAACTTTGTCAATTTTTCCAAATGAATGAATTTCTGTCCTATTATCATGGATTGGTGACCCCTAGATTCAGGAACTACCCTTTGCTTTGTAGCCAACTACTTTGCTTAGTAATTATAAAGACCTTTATATAGGTCCCCCTGCTACAGGGTCTTTTAATCAGAACCACCAGTGCACCATAGACCAGCAAAAGACACTAGCATTGTCTTATAGGAAGCAATTGCATTTGATTTTGCTGCTAAAGGTTGATTAAATTGGAACGTGTGCATTTTTATTTCTGTATTCAGCACTGGGTCATAAATGAGGGATCTAACAGGCTAACATCTTTCAGAATATGAGCGTATAACCAACAAGTGTTAATGGTGAAAGACATGAGAAGACTGATAACAATTCAATTCAATTCAGTTTTATTTGTGTAGCGCTTTTTACAATGGACATGGTCACAAAGCAGCTTTACAGATTTCCCGGCCTGAACCCTTAGTGAGCAAGCGTAAGGCGACACAACACAACAAGTCTTGTATGGCCAGCGATTATACTGCGGTTACTGAATGTTAAGCATTTTATTTCATGTCAAAATATTTAAAATATTACAGAACAACAGGTTATTAACGTACAGCTTAATGCTAAAATTATCAAGTAGAAGAAAACGCACCCGTTTTGTGCATGAAAAGTATTTTACCCCACAGAAATTATTCTTAGAATTATTAAAGGCCATGCAGATATTTCTTACTTTGAATATTGTTTTAATCTTAAAATTAGTTTTTCCACTCTAAATTAGAATACTCTCTAAAATTTTAATTAAGGATATTTTTTTTTGCAAGAAAAATGGGCACCGCCTATACTCGGAATAATACGGCTGCCCCGGAAGCAGTTCTCTTCGCTTGCCGTCGTCCAGCCATCTTCTTCCTGTTTCACGTTCCTCACCCTGGATGATGAGTGGCAGCGGTGGTGAAGGAGAGAGGTTACGCGGTTTTTAAACAGGTTTTAAAGTAAGCCACCCTTATTTCTTGATTTGCAAAGATTAGGTTTTTTTTCCCCCCTCACCCTCGTAACAAAACTTTTCAGGCGTCTGTTTCGCCTGTTTGTTTCAGTGTTGCCTTGGGAAAACGAAAAAGGTCATACAATGCAGTCCGCCTCTTGCCTCAGATGAGCTGCTCTGCTCAGTTCTGTCTCCTAAAAGACGAGCTCGCATTCCTGCGATTAGTAGGGCATTTCGCTACAGGACTGCGTTTCTAGTTTTGTAAGAAGTGTCACGGAGAAGATTGCATTTAGAAGTCTTTTTTCAAATTTCGCTGTAATGTCCTTATAGCTATGTCTCACGCTGAAACGGAAATCCCATTTATTTCAATAAGATAAAGTTATCTTTCCATCAAGTATCCCTTGAGCCCGTTTGCAGTGATGGTGGTGAAGTTCAACTAGCAAGGAAATGCAGCAAAAAAAGCCGATCAATTCAGGTGAAGCCAAAACAAATGTTAAAGGCGCCGGTGACAGAATTTATGAGGTTGAACAATTTAACGTTTGTTTTGGACAGGCTCCTCTTTTCTATCGTGCTGAGGTTGCAATGCATGAAATGCATCAACAGTTGCCTTAGATGCATCCAAATTCGGTTCAGATCTGAGCAGGACATTAACTTTATAACTACCCTGGTTTAAAGCGTTAAATTGAAAATGCGCGAACGTTTCAGATGTCAGCTGCAAGAAGCTAAAGTTTAGTCCCTCTGTTAGCGCTGTGGTAAAGCCAAGACTCTTAGACGCCATGAATAAGCAATAGATTTACGGTTCTGTCTATAACGTTCTGAACGAATATACGTGTTTAACAACTGACCAGTGCTAATTGATATTCTGTACTACAAGCCCTTTGATCCTTGCTCTTTTGGTTCAAAGTTAGGTATTTGATCAAACAGCTTGTTTTTGCCAGCTTCCACAACGCAGCTCATCCCAAACACCAAGTCATAGTTATCCAGACCGTGATGGACGCTGATCTTGGACTTGTTATATTAGGTTAACTAATGCAGGGCTACTGCTCATTGCATTTTGAGAAAACAAGCCCCAAGAATGTTTTTGTGCAACAGTGTCCTTCATGCACGAAGGTTCTGTTTTTAATCGTTTGTTCTGGGTTTCTGTTTTTGACATCGCAGTGACTTTGTCGATTTTAGGACTTTGAATGTCAGTTTCACATGCTAAGAAGCCTTCGCTGCTCTAGGAGGAAGAGATCGAGTAAGCTACCTGTACATGGTTTAGCTTTCAGGGATGCAGGACAGTGTATTGATATTGGAAGGCATTTTAGAACCCCTGTACTGAGTGTATAGGGGTGGGGCGGTGGCTCTGTGGCTAAGGATCTGCGCCTGTTGCTGGAAGGTTGCCGGTTCAAATCCCGCAGCCGGCAGAGGAATCCTACTCCATTGGGCCCCTGAGCAAGGCCCTTAACCCCCTGTACAATGGCTGACCCTGCGGTCTGACCCCAGGCTCTCTCTCTACCTGTGTGTCTCATGGAGAGCAAGCTGTGGTATGCGAAAAGACAAATTCCTAACGCAAGAAATTGTCTATGGCCAATAAAGTGATCTTATCTAGAATTTCAGTGAAAGCTGTGTGTCAACACAGTCTATCAGACGTTCTGATCTTAAACGGATCTTAAACGTTTTTTCAAAACATTGCGTCAGACACAGCAAGAGTTTGGGAAGAGTTTGACAAGAGTTTTGTCAAGTTTGGGAATCCGTTTGAGCTTAACCTGAAAAGGCTGTGAACACTGACTAGGCAAGAGGATG